AATTCTAAATGTGCGTGTGTGTGTGTGTGTGTGTGTGTATGTGTGAACACCTCCCACATAAAAACTATGGAAAAATCTGAATTCTCCATTTAGAAGATGTGTGCCTATGACTTTATGGTTTTTATTTTATTTTATTTTAAATCTTGTTAATTTTCAGAGGGGTACATAACTCGGAGTATTTATGTTTGTTTTAAATATGTATATAATTTTATATGGCTTTTATGTACTTGTAAAAAGTGAGAACTGATCTCAGCTGTCCATGAATGGGGTTGTGAGTTTTCATAAAAAAAAAAAAAAAAAAAAAGAGATTAATTGTATAATTATTACAAACTTTTAAGTCTATAGTTTTGACGAGTATAAAATGAACTCCGCCATTTTTTACCTTATTTTTCAATAACCCTCAATTGATCTTCCTAAATGGATGGATGGATGAAATCAATCCTTACTTTTTTCAGCCACTTTTTCTATTTTTTTTTTTAAGTGTGAACGCATGGGTAATTCTTGGCCAAATTTGCTTCATATTTTCTTTGATCATCACCGTTGTGATTTATTCATCGTCGATCGAGTGTTAACTTTTAATTGGTCATTGATCTCTTGATTTTTACAGATTAATTTTGTTCTCATGTTCTCATACGGTGAATAGTGTGAAGAGTTCTCATAAGAGTATCTTGTGTGTGTGTGTGTTGTGTGTGTGTGTGTGTATGTGTGTGAACACCTCCCACGTAAAACTATGGACAAATATGAATTCTCCATTTAGACGATGTGTGTGGCTATGACTTTATGATTTTTATTTTATTTTATTTTTAATCTTGTTAATATTCAGAGGGGTGCATAACTGGGAGTATTTATGTTTGTTTTAAATATGTATATTATTTTATATGGCTGTTATGCACTTGTAAAAAGTGAGAACTGATCTTAGCAGTCCATTAATGGGGTTGTGAGTTTTCATAATAAAATACGAGGTCAATTGTATAATTATTACAAACTTGTAAGCCTATAGTTTTTACGAGTATAAAATGAACTCCGCAATTTTTTATCTTATTTTTCAATAACCCTCAATTGATCTAGCTAAATGGATGGATGAAATCTATCCTTACTTTTCAGTCACTTTTTCTATTTTTTTTTTTAAGTGTGAACGCATGGGTAATCCTTGGCCAAATTTGTTTCATATTTTTTTAGATCATCACTGTTACGATTTGGTGCCGCGATTTATTCATCGTCGATCGAGTGTTAACTTTTAATTAGTCATTGATCTCTTGATTTTTACGGCTTAAATTTGTTCTCATTTTCTCATGTTCTCATGTGGTGAAGAGTTCTCATAAGAGTATCATATGTGTGTTTGTGTGTCTATGAGAACACCTCCCACATAAAAACTATGGACAAATCTGAACTCTCTATTTAGAAGATGTGTGTGGCTATGACTTTATGGTTTTTAGTTTATTTTATTTTTAATCTTGTTAATTTTAGGAGGGGTACATAATTGGGAGTATTTATGTTTGTTTTAAATATGTATATAATTTTATATGGTTGTTATGCACTTTTAAAAAGTGAGAAATGATCTCAGCTGTCCATCAATGGGGTTGTGAGTTTTCATAATAAAATATGATGTCAATTGTATAATTATAATATGGAAGAGGTCACTACATGTCATCTAAGCGCAGGGTGCTTGGCTCATATTTACTTATATAAACAAAATTTATTTGCTTACGTTTAAAGCTAGTTATTATTCACATGACAATTAAAACTTGAACTTTATACCAATTTTTAGATTTTAATTCAACTGATTATTAGTTCAGATATTTTTAGTTATGTTGTATCATAATATAAGTTTGGTTTGGATATCATATTTTGAAATTTCACATATATTAGACTTCAAAGTAAAAATTATATATAAACATGCATTATTTCATTCAAATGAATATATCCAAAAATATTTTAAATATTATCTTAAAAAATATTAATATTATCTAAACTAAATTTAATAGATTATTGGTTCAGATATATTTTGAGTTATATTATATACAGATTTAAATTGGTTTGCATATAAAAAAACGAGTGTTAATTAGTCAATCAGTTTTATAAATAGAACTAGTTTTTCTACGCGCTTTGCGCGAATGTGATAATGTCCAATAGTTATTTTTAAATAAGTATTTCAAATTATATCAATGCAATATTACATAGAAGATGTTCATGCTTAGGTAAATAAATGTTGAATTTGTTTATTTAAATCGATAATTTAAAGTACTCCGTATATAAATGAAATATAATATATGAGAGATTGATTATATATAACTTTCACAAAAATAAATGTTTGCAACTTTGTAATAACGTTAGTCTAAGTACTTAGTCTAAAAGCGATAGTCTAAATAAATACTACTTTTGGTTTAAATTTCTCTAATTCTCTTTTAGGTAGCATTGTCATTGTCTTCATCTTCAGCACATGTCATTTTTTTTTGTTATTTGTAGTGTGTCATGTGCAATTGGGTTATTGGTGCTAGCATAGAGGGATTCATCATGCAATGAGATTATGGTGTAGGAAACTTTAGATTTGCCTTGTGTATATGACTGGATCTTAGTTGTGCTATGAATTCTTTATCTTACAAGCACATGTTGATATTTGGCAGCGGTAGTTTTCCCCTACATGTTTCATGTGTTGTGAGATGTGTGTCGTAAGTTATCATGTGAAAGTATTGAACAAAATATTAATATTTATTATATTTGTATAAAATACTTGGTAAATAAATATATATAACATATTTTGTATTATAACTTTGATATTTAATTACAAGATAATGTAAAAAGAAGACAATAGACAATGTAGTGAATATAATAAATTAAAAAATTTGAAGGTAAGGAATCTTTGAATTGTAAAAAATAAAGATAATATGAGTAATGAAATTATATCTCTTTTTAAAATTTTTATCATTAATAATTCTTTTTAAATAGAGGCATTATAGACCTCTAATTCTAAATTAATTAAATGCATATGTATTATTTTTTGTTGTAGCTACTAATTTATTTTTTAATTTAATAAGAGCAATAAATAAAGTGGAGTACATACTTATCATCCACAATAATGAAATTATTGATTTTTTTTTTAATTTTCATTTGTTGTTGTGACAAATTGTTTTGAGAGTTTGTCAATATAATGACAATTGTTGTCAATAGAAGATGATAATAAATAATTCAAAATATAAGGTTACAATAGATATTTTTATAATAATATAGTAAAAAAATTAACTTACAAATTTATTTAGAAGTTTCCATGCATTGATAAAAGCATAATTGAAATATTAACTTTTGTTCTTAATAATCAAAAGAAGATTAACTAAACGAAAAAAAAAAAAAAAAAAAACTTAACTTAAATTTATTATTTTTTTAAATGAAAGAAAATCAAATGATTTTCAAAGTTCCTGATTTATAGTAATTGAACACTATGTATTTAATTGAGCTAACTATTTGACCAAAGTTTACATTAAATTATATATTATATTTTTTAATACATTTTAACATATTCGTAGTATATGTTTAACAATTATGCCAACTCTAATTGGGATGTGGTTCGATCCTAAGACCTTTCTTATAGAAATTAATGAGTAAGTTAAGAATAATAAATAGTTAACGGAATATTTCGTTAATAAAATTTATACTAACGGAATTTAAGGTTATATAAGGGAGAAAAATAATATAATAAAGGGTAAATAAGAAAAATCATTAAAAAAAAAATACCAAAATAAAAATAATATGAACCATTCATTTTAAGAAACAATTGCTACTAACATGTTTTTATTCCAGTTAAGGTCTAACATTATTTAACAATTATGTCAACTCTAATTGGGATGTGGTCTAAGACCTTTCTTATATAAATTATCGAACCTAAGACTTTTCTTATAGAATTAATGAGGAAGTTAAGAATAATAAATAGTTAACGGAATATTCCGTTAATAAAGTTTATACTAACGGAATTTAAGTTTATTTAAGGGAGGAAAATTATATAATAAAGGGTAAAATAAGGAAAATCATTAAAAAAAATACCAAAATCAAAATAATATGAACCATTTATTTTAAGAAACAATGGCTAACGACATTTTTTTATTCCAGTTAAATGGCCTAAACATTATTGACTCTTATTAGAATCGTGTATGTATGGCAATTTATATCCTACACCACGGCGCGTTGCACTATGCGCCTAGATGCAAAACGACGTCGTTTTAATTTTTTTTTTTTTTTTAAATTTCCCGCCCCAGTGAATGGCAGTAGTTTTTTCTTTAAAAAAAAAAAACCCGCTGTTCAAGAATGTACATAATGTTATACTAAAATACACATAATTGTATACATGAATGTACATAATTATATAACAAAATATACATACTCTTTTTAAAAGATAATACACATAATCTAACATAATACATAATAAACATAAACTTTTAACATAATACACATCAACTATTAACATAATACACACAAATTTTCTGATTCGGATGTACATAATTGTATAAAAAGAATGTACATAATTGTATAAAAAATGTACATAACTGTATGAACCAATACACATAACTGTATGAACAAATACACATAACTATGTGAACAAATACACATAATCCCAGCAACTTCCTACGCGCCTCCCAAAACGACATCGTTTTGGGAGGCGCGCGGCGCACAGTGCTATGTGCGCCGTGGTGTAGGGTATAACGATTGTGTATGTATGTATATTGTAGATGTAGAAACAAAGAATGAGAAGTGTAAAAATAATAGAGAACAATTTTAAAAGTAAACGGGAACTTAATATTTCTAGGGCTACTAATTAACATTTAAATAGTAATACCGGACATTACATATTATATGGTTGTGAATGAAGAATTACAGCCGCTTACTTGCTAGAGACATAGTCAAACATTCGATCTGATGTACACTACCATCATTTCAACAACAAAAGGAAGGAATTGGAAAGAAAAAACCAAAACCACTAATTAATTAAATTGCTCAACATTATATTTAATTTAATTTGCAGCAGCATCAGGCATCTCATTCAAATCAAACCTCAGAACCTCTGGAATTCCGGCCGCCGCCGGCGTTGGTATCTCCGGTGAGGCAACCTGCACCATCCTGGATTCAACCCTCCGATCAACTCCAATTGATTGGTTTTCATCATTATTATCATTACTTGTGTTGCGAATCTCAGTCTTCACCTTATTATTGTGTCCTCCCAGTGGATGAGAGCTGCTAAAACCCCTATCGCATTTGCACTTCTTCTTCTCTTCTTCTTCTTCTTCTGCAGATTCTACTTCCACTCCTCTCTTTTTCTTCTTGGATTCTCGTTCTGATTCCTTGTTCAGATAATTCTCCTTCCTATGAATCTGTTTAGGATTTAGAATCCCACCATTGATTCTGATTTCCTCCGTGTGATTCTTGCAGTAATATTCATCTGTATCTTCATCACTGCTACAGCTACCGGACCTTTTCACTCGACCAAACCTTGGATTTTCCGAAACATGATGATGATCAGCTTTTCCCTTCCCCTTATCTTCCATCCTAAATGGTGCATTGATTTTCTTCTTATTCTTCTTATTCTGGGATGACCCGAAATCGGCGCCTCTAAAACGCCTGTCTTCTTTATCTGCTACGTCCAGCAGATGACGGAGAGAGAGCATTTTCTTTCGGCGATCTCGCTTAACGGTGGCACCCCAATGCGGCTTCAAACGGCTTAGCAAATCCACAACCTCGTGAGCTTCTTCTTCTTCTTCTTGAATCTCTTCCTTCGCCTGAACCTCAGGATGGGTTTTCAAGTGCCCATACAGAGAGTTCTTCGAGGGGGAGTGCTTCTCACACACGTTGATCTGATCATCTTCTTGAATTTCTTCTTCTTCTTCTAAGGTAGTGAACCTGTTCTTGGCCTTCCTGGCTTGAACATGGGCGCTTAAATGACCTCCTAGAGCCTTCCCGGAGATGAACCTCCGGTGGCAGAACTGGCACACGTGCTCCTTTCTCTCCGCCGCCATATTATTTCTCCGGGGAGATCCCATCGTCCCATCGGATTCTTGTGCCGCATCTTTCTCCCTCTTCGCTTCTTCATCATTCGCCATCGGATAACCAAGTAGAAATCCTTATCCGAGCTAAGTGGAGTGGGGGTGGGAGGGAAAACCCTAGCTAGAGAACAAAATGAGAGAGAGAGAGAGAGAGAGAGAGAGAGAGAGAAAGTTATTGTAAAGCTACGGAAGAAAATTTTAATGCGACGAGAAATAGGATGGATTATATTGTTAGAAGGAGAGGGAGCGGGGTAGGTTATTGGGTATGTATAACGTACAATTCAGACTATCATAATACTATGAGCATATTCGAATTCTTTTTTTTTTTATTTTCCTTCACCCAAAAAAAGGTTGAATCCCAACGGTGACTCAATGATTGAGCAGATATGACCAAATGTGTTCATTTTGAATATAATTCCAACACTATGACCGCCGAGATTCAAACCTTAGTCTCTTCTTCCAAATACTGCCCACTGACCATTGACCTAAGCTCGTGCGATTTTTTTTTTTTAGTACTGCTGACTAGTTACTACCGTTCCCACTCAGGATCCAACTCATAACTTTTCATTTGGAAAAGTTATTAATTCGTGCCAGAACACATGTCATTGGTCAAATTCTCAATGCGTATATAATTTAAAAGAAAAGATTTAATACCATCTGAAGCCGTCCGAGTATAATTGTTGGTCATTCGACTTTGAAATTTAACCATTTGTGGTCCAAGTTAACCACTCATGGTCCTTTAACTTTCAAAATTTAATCAACCATGATCTTTTCAAAAGGACCACGAGTCGTTAAATTTTAAAAATTGAAAGACCACAGGTGGTTAACTTAGACCACGAATAGTTAAATTTGAAAGTTGAAGGACTATAAATAATCAATTTGAAAGTTATGACTAAATATGACAAAACTACTATACTTCAAGAATCCCATGTGGTATTAATTCTAATTTAAAATTAATGGACATTGCGATACTCGTGTTTTCAAACATTATACTGTGATACCAAATAATTGCTAGCTCATTAAATATTATAACGAGGAATATCTTTAATTCAAAATGAATAAATATTTAATTTAAATATGACAATTATCCGTATGACGTGTGGTGTATGGGGTAGAGTGTACCTATACGTAGAGTGACTAAGATGTTGAGAGATGAATTGATCGTATATATATTTGGGAACAATGTATGGTATATATGTAGGTAATTAATTAATGATCGATATATCGATATATATGGAATAAAGAGAAAACACCATTTTGCCAACATTTAAGCTCGAAAAATCAGGTCTTTTGTCAAGATAATCACACACTTAAAAATATTTATACAAGTATATCCATAACTTCTTTTAAACTTAAGTTTTAGTCCAACGTTTATTTTATTTTATTATTTCTTAGATTAAAAAAGAGGAGACTTCAAATGAACTAATTAGAGATAGTCACTCTACCAGTGTGAGAGACCACATCAAGTTATCATAAAAAATCAGCATAAATTCACCTAGAAACTGATGGTTATGACTCAAATCTTTTTGCTAGTAACATATAACTTATAATGAAAAAATTTCACTTTTGGTGCCTTGACGACTATTATACATGTATCTAATTTAGTCATTGACTAGTAATATTTTCAAATTAGGTGCATGACTATGTAATTTGTATCGCATTTAGTTCTGTCGTTCAATTTTTCAGTCAACTATTAGCAGAATTTCTATGAGAAAAAAAATATATGTCCTAATTAAAAGGGTATTTTGGTCAATTATTGTCTAAAAAATTATTTTTCTCACTGAAATTCCAATAATAGTTGGCCGGAAACTTGCCAAAAATTATACGATAGGACCAAATGTAATACAAATTACATAATTATGCACCTAATTTGAAAATATTAATAGTTAAGGATCAAATTTGATATATCTATAATAGTTAAGGGGTCAAAAATAAAAAAAATTTCACTTATAATTACATGCATATATATAAAAAATTTGGCAAAGAACAACAATGGCATCAACTCATCAAGCCTTGACCACCTATATCTCTGCTTAGTCTAATTTAGATAAATGCCCATCAGAGGCACGTCGAAGTTGTGTTGTAAATTTATTGCGAATTAAGGAGCATTGTAATTTCTATTTTAGTCAGGATATATTGAGTATTAGTTTTTATTTTATTGTTTTAAAATAATCGGTATAGTATGAGATGGGTAGATTCACACACGCTAATTTCACATATTTCAAATATAAAAAATTGTGTGAGATCATTTTATATTGTAAAACTTTGATAAAATGTGATATTTTTATTGGTCAACAAACATTACATTTTATCTTAAAATATTACTTATTGAAAATGTCATATTTATATATTAATAAAAAAACTTGTATTTTTACATCTCTACTTTTCAAAACATTATCAATTGAACACTTACATCAATGCATTATCAATTGAAAAATTGCCACTGCTGAACATAAATAACAAAAAAAGAAAAAGTTTTAGTCCTCTACTTATTCATAATTAGTTATTTTGATCTCATATTATCAAAATCTACTAATTTAATAAGAGCACAATAAAATTAGGCCTATAACAAAAATTAAAAAATGTTGGTTCAACTATTGGTAAATTATGCCGTAGAACCGTGTCTACCTGGCTTGCAAGGTTGACACGGTTCTAAAACTATTCATAATTGTGAATATAGAGTTCAAAAATTATGAATATAGAGTTCTATAATTATGAATATATAGTTCTATAATTATGAACATAAAGTGCTATAATTGTAAATATAGAGTTCAATAATTGTGAATATGAAGTTCAAAAATTATGAACATAGAATTTTATAATTATGACCATAGGGTTCAGTAATTATGAACATAGAGTTCTGTAATTGTGAATATAGAGTTCAATAATTGTGAATATGAAGTTCAAAAATTATGAATATAGAGTTTTATAATTATGAACATAGAGTTCAGTAATTATGAACACAGAATCGTGTCCACCTTGCAAGGTGGACACGGTTCCATGACATAACAATCCCCAATTGTTTATTGAAATAAATAGTTCATAATTTATATTATTTTGATTTTAGTATTTTTTTTTCTTACTTTACCCTCTATTAAGCAATTTACTCTAAACATCAATGTTATATCATTTAAATATTTACCACTATTAAACATAAATAACTAGTGAAAAGTGATTTTTTTGTGAGACAAAAAAAAACCCACAATCACTATCCGAAGGTGTATACTGAATAAATCCTGATCTTATGTATTGCTCACAAATTATACATAAGAGGTAAACTATACTAGTAAAATCATGTGCAATATGCTCGATTGAAAAGATGTTGTCAATAATCAAACCCGTAACTATTCAGATATAATAATTATGCTCTACCTACTCGATCATCCTTTTCGAACAGAAAAAAGTGATTTTAACTCTTCAATTATTTGTTATTACATACTCGTTTAGATTTTGAAATTGATTCGTGATTCTTGAATGCAAGTTGGATCCTAAAGTTCTACTTGATTTTAATTAACAATTAACTTACCTTTAATTAAATATGTTTTTCGAATGTAGAAAGAACAAATTAAAAAGACAAGTTAAGAAAACAGAACCAGGAACACATCAATTGTTTACACAGTTTGGAGCTAAAACTCCTACGTTTGCAGGGCAACTCACGTAAGCCCAATCCACTAGATGTTTACTAAGAAAACAAGATTTGAATACAAAAAGCTTCAACCACATAAACCAAATTAATCTTCAGAACATATATCGTTGAAGAGGAACGTGCATGCCGAAGTACATCATCAATCTTTCATCACGCCAAACACACTTCTAGAAGATAGTCTTGTGAAGATTTCACCAACTTAAAATAGATAAATAACTTGAAATAATCTAATCTATACTATTATTAAAAATAAAATCTTCCTTTGTGTTTTCCCACCCAAATTCTTCCACCCAAACAATTAATAATTAATAATTAAAGTGAGTGGGGCTCCTTGTGCGCAGTAAGTAAAAGTCTAGCCTCTATAATTCATGTTCAGTTGAGTTACATGATTTACATCCTCCCAAATGCTCTATCGGGTCGGGGTGTGGGGGGCCCTTAGGGTTGGGGTTCAACCTTTGTAAGAATAATTAATAATTAATTAATTAATTAATTTTATATATATATATATATATATATATATATATATATATATATATATATATATATATATATATATATTGGATCCAATGAGATCCCTAATAAGATGAGATCATGAGATCCCATCTCAACCATTAAAAAGGTTAGAATTGATGGATAAGATTAAAAGCCAACTAGCATTTAATTAAGGATAGTTTTAAAAGAAAATGGTGAAAGAGTAATTGTATTATAATGTTTAATTTTGGTTATAATTATAATAGAATATTTACCATAATATAAGGGATCCTATTAATCTAAATAATTAAATATATTTTGAATTTTGAGATTGATTAATACGTCCGTGGCTGTGTGCGTTTGTGTTACATGGCGTGTGCATGGCGTGCTTTTTTGTGCATTGACGTGGTATGGCGTGTGCATTGGTCTGGTATGGCGTGTGCGTTGCTTCTTTCAGGCGTGTGCGTGAGTTTGTTTTCATTTTGGCTAGTGCGAGTTTATTGGAAATACACAACGAACAAGCCCAAGTACATTATGAATTAGCTTTTTGTATAGACGTTTGCATTTTCAAGTGGATAGAAAGTGCATAGTAGAGATCGTATTGTGCGTTTGGTTGTGTTTTTTTTTTTTTTTTTTTTGAATTTGCTGTGTAGGTGTGTGCAGGAATTAGTGGTATCATGTGCGTTTGTCTGGTCGTCTGTGCAAACAACATTGTGGTGTGTGCGTAACACTCCTTTGTGCACGATTGTTTTGTTGTACAGCTCTCACAAAAAAAAAAAAATTACTACTTATTACCATTAATATTCTCTCTATTATTATGCTAAAGATTTCCATTTAATTCTAACCAAAATTAACACGCTACTAGAATTTCATTTTAACCCTTATGTTTATAATATGTTCTTAATTACTTCATATTTCTCATTCAATCCCAACCATCCAT